GAACCCAGGGCCTCATGCAAGCAAGGCAAGTACTCTACCACTGAACCACCTTCCATTTCCCCTGTCTTTAATGACAAATACAGCTTCACCCTCTGATGCATCCTGAAGGGTTCTGGTGTTTGTAAAGAGCCTGGCATGGTCGTCATCCCTCAGAATAGCAGGAACTCTACTGAATTTATCCCTGGTCCCCAAGAGAACCATAGTCATAATTTATCAATAACAGATGTTTAAATATGTGCTGACTTTAAAATCCTGAGGCAGGGCTGGGAAGATGGCTCAGTGGTAGAGTACTTGCCTTGCATGCATGAGGCCCTAGGTTCGATTCCTCAGCACCACATAAGCAAAATGAAAAAAACCGAAGTGGTGCTGTGGCTCAAGTGGTAGAGTGCTAGCCTTGAGCTGAAGAGCTGAGGGACAGGCCCAGGCCCAGAGTTCAGGCCCCACAACTGGACCCCCCCCGCAAAAAATCCTGAGGCATTTCCAAACATGTCCCCTGTACACATTCTATATTGTTTTCACGAAGCTACTTCACTCATCTCACCAAGCACACCAGGAACCCCACCAGTTTGGAACCCATCTCAGCATGAGGTGTTATGTTGACATCCTTTTCTTACTCATATAACTTCATTCTTTTTTATTTATTTATTTTTTGTGCTGGTACTGGGGATTGAAGTCAGGGCTTCAAGCTCCCATTGGCATTTTGGCTCATAGCTGGCAGTCTACCACTTGAGCTATACCTCTACTGGCTTTTGGTTGGGTAACTAGAGATTGTCTTCTCCACCTAGCTTCAAGCCTTGACCCTCAGATCTCAGCCTCTTGAGTAGCTAGGATTATAGGTATGAACCACTGGCACCTGACTCATATTTGCTCTTTCGTGGGATTTTTTCTCCCCATAGTATTAGGTTTTGAACTTGTGCTTGCTAATGGTGCTCTATCACTTGAGCCATACCTCCAGGCCTTTTACTTTTGGTTTTTAGAGGGTCTCACATTCTTGCCCAAGATTAGCATGGACCACAGTCCTATTTTTGTTTCCTGCATGGCTAGAATGATAGGTACACACCATCACATCCAGTTTTGTATTAGTTGAAATGGAGTCTCTTAAACTTTTTGCTGAGGCTGGTTTGGAGCCACAATTTTTCCAATCTCTACCTCCTACGTGGCTAGGATTATAGGCATAAGCCACTGCACCCAGCTATATTGGGTTTTCTTTACCACGCCAATAATCTCTCAACTGTCACTTGGTAATCTCTTGGGAAAAAAAAATCCTCAAGCCCTCTGAAGAACAGCTTGACAGACATTGTTGTAAACTCAGGAACAATTGGGGTGGACTAAGAAAAACCCAAGTGTGCTGCGGGTTGGGATGGCAAAGCTAACAATGAGGTAGGATTGGAAATGGAAAGATACAAACTTTAGATATTATGAAGAAAAGCCTTGACTGATTAGATGTGGAGGGAGCAGAGGAGCTAATAAGAAATGCTATGGTTCTCAGAACGGGAAACCCAAGTGGTGATGACAAAACCAGACATGGAGAGGCTTAGAAAGAGGGAACAAATCTTCCTTCTTAGACCTGTTCCAATAGTTAGGTGACAATGGCATTCCCCAGAAGTTAGCTATGTCCATGAGGGGCTCCAGTGAGAAGTGAAGCTGCAGACAGATGGAAGGAAGGACCTCAGCCACCCCAAATTCCTATGCCTGTGAAAGGATCTAGAGCTTACTGTCTCTAGTTTGCCTTAGTACACTGTTAGGTATATTTAAGAGGTGAGTTCCCTCATTATCACCAGTAAGTAGCAAGTGTTATAGCCAAACAGCTGGGGTTAATGTTTGATTAGCAAAACATTCACCTTGGAGACGGCTTGCTCAGAATTTTTGCTTCCTTAGAAAAGTTCAAGGGAACTTTAGTTAGAATCACACACCGATCTAGGTGTCATGCCTCCCGTGATATATAGAAGCTTAATGCCAGGAACAGAGCAAGACAGAAAAGCTGCCCTCCTGGAGCTGGTTGTTCATGCATGGTGCAGATAACCAACAGGCTTTGGGCACCAGAGGCCAGAGCAAATAGCTTGGCAATCCTCTTCCAAGACTGGCCCATCCATTTCCTTCTGGAGTGTACTGATGCATCAACCAGAATTTAAGGTAAAAACCCAGATTTTAACCTTGAGCCCAATTCCAGGAAAATTCTGGTCTCTTGAAAACACATCCAGGGGGGCTGGGAATGTGGCTTAGTGATACAGTGCTTGCCTAGCTTGCATGAAGTCCTGGGTTCGATTCCTCAGTACCACATAAACAGAAAAAACTGGAAATGATGCTGTGGCTCAAGTAGTAGAGTACTAGCCTTGAGCAAAAGAAGCTCAGGTATAGTACCTAGACCCTGAGTTCAAGCCCCAGGACTAGCAAAACAAAAAACAAAACCCAAACAACAACAAAGAACTGAAAATACACAACCACAAGAAAACTATGAAAGTAGCCTATGATCAACATACCGACAAATACATAATTTTTCTCATAGAATGAAAGCCAATTTTGAAGTGTCAACATCTCAGAGGAAGACAAATCAGTCACATCATCCACAAGGCCTTCTTCAGAGTAGTCTCCGGTCACAAATGCTCTAGCTGCATCTCGGCCTATAGGAGAGAAGTTTCCAACAGATTCAGCTGTAAGTCACTGACATTGTACCAACTCAAAAAAAAATCTGTTTTCTGAAAAATATATCCTAACAACCCCACTCTTAAGAAAATGAAATCCCTTTTCTGTGAAAGATGATCCTGAGACAGCTCCCAGGCATTTGTCCTATTTTTCATTCACTTTCAGCAACTTTCAACAAACCTAACCACGTTTTTTTTTATTTCCTTGATTCTATATCCCTAGTTTTTTTTCTCCCTCTCTAGCTCCTCACTGATTACTAACTCTGAGCATCAAATACTGTCCACATCCTATCATTTGACAATCTGACCCACTCTGGTGGTTTAAAAACCCACCGCTAGCTGGGTGGCTCATGCCTGTAATCTTAGCTATTCAGGAGGCTGAGATCTGAGGAAAATGGTTCGAACCAGCCTTGACAAGAGAGTCTCTTATCCCCAATAAGTACTAAAAAGTTGGGAGGAGAACTGTGGCTCAAATAGCAGAACACTAGCCTTAAGCGAAAAAACTATAAGGGACAGTGAGTTCTCAGGCCCTGAGTTCAAGCCCCAAAATCATCACAAAAACAATCAAATCCTACCTCTATGTCAGATGCCATCAAAGCTCAATGTTTAGCATAGAATTATCTTGACTTGGGTACCCAATTGTTTAAAATAACTGCACCAGCAAAAAGCTGAAGTGGAGGTATGGCTCAAGTGGTAGCCGTTTCAGCAAAAAAGCTGAGTAACAGGGAGAGGCCAAGAGTTCAAGCCTCAGTATGAACGCATGCAACCCCCACCTCCACCCTCACCCCCATCCTTACATACTCAAACAAATGATCTGTATAGATTTGGGTAAAGGATCAAATAGATTTGATCATATCTACTCCAAAGAAGATAGGATCAGAATTAAACACCCTAATATAGGTGTCAAGCTCCCTTGTTTTTTTCTAAAACTAGATGCTCCTCTAAATGTTCAACAGACACATGAATTAGGCACCAGTGGCTCACACCTGTAATCCTAGCTACTCAGGAGGCTGAAATCTGAAGATCATGGTTCAAAGCCAGCCCAGGCAGAAAAGTCCATGAGACTCTTATCTCCAATAAACCACCAGAAAACCAGAAGTGGCACTGTGGCTCAAGTGATAGAGCGCTAGCCTTGAGCTGAAGAGCTGAGGGACAGTGCCCAGGTCCAGAGTTCGAGCCCTACAACCGACCAAAAAAACAAAACCAAACCAACCCACACACATGAAAAGATGAAATATTAAGAATTAGGGAAAAGTAAATAAGACCACAATGAGGTACTACTTTAAACCTACTGGGATGAGTACAGTAAAAAAGACAAAGAGTAATAGAGCTGGGGTTGTAGCTCTAATGTAGAGTGCCTGCCTAGGAAGCTTGGGGCTCAGAGTTCAAACTCTAGTACTGTTAAAAAAAAAGTGACTAGGGGCTGGGAAGGTGGCTCAGTGGTAGAGCACTTGCCTTGCATGCTCGAGGCCCTGGGTTTGATTCCTCAGCACCACATAAGAAAAAAAAAAAGCCGGAAGTGGCGCTGTGGCTCAAGTGTAGAGTGCTAGCCTTGAGCTGAAGAGCTGAGGGACAGTGCCCAGGCCCAGAGTTCAAGCCCCACGACTGGACCCAAAAAAAAAAAAGTGACTAAGAGAGGGAGTGAATTTGATCAATATCACAATGAAACACCTTTGTACAATTAATAGGTAATAATAAAAATACTAAAAAAAATTAAGGGAAATGTAGATCTGCAGCAGAAAGCTTTCCCAACATACCCTCTTACATGATCTCATTAACAAGTGTTAGTAAAAATGTGGAAAAACTGGAATTGAAATACATTCCTGGGGGATATACAACAGTACAGGACTTTAGAGAACAATTTGGCAGTTTTCTACAAAAATTAAATATAGTTACCATAGGACCTAATAAGTTCACCTCTAGGAATATCCAAGAAAAATGAAAACATGTGTTTACATAAAACTGATACACAAATGTTTCTAACTCCATTATCTACAATAGAGGAAGATGTAATATCAAACGTAAAATGTGGTATATTTATAAGTAACAGTATTATTTAACCACACAAAGGAAAGAAGTATATACAGATATACAGTGATACAATGCTAAGTCAAAAAGGCCAGACAAAAAAAGGGCACATGCAAGACTTATTTATATGAAATACTCAGAAGCAAATTTGTAGGTACAGAAAGTAGAGGAGTTGCCAAAGGCTGAGAGGAGGAAGAAATGGGAATGATAGCTAAAAAAGTTTCTTTTGGGAGTAATAAAAATCTTCTGATAGTGATGATGTTTACACGTTTCTGGCTAAATATAAAAAGCCACAGTGGGGCTGGGAATGTGGCTCAGTGGTAGTGCTTGCCTTGCATGCATGAGGCCCTGGGTTAGATTCCTCAGCACCACATAAGCAGAAAAAGCCAGAAGTGGCACTGTGGCTCAAGTGGAAGAGGGCTAGCCTTGAACTGAAGAGCTGCGGGACAGTGCCCAGGCCCAGAGTTCAGGCCCCATGACCAAGCAAAAAAAAAAAAAAAAAAAAGCCACAGGATTGTGCATTTTCTCTTTTGTGCTGGTACTGAGGCTTAAGCTCTGGGCCTTACATTCTTGCTTGGTTATGCTCATGGCTGGCAGGCACTTGACCACTTGAGCCACACCTCTAGTCCTGTAGTCTTGTGAATTATTTTACTCTTGATCTTCAGATTACTGACTTGAGATACCAGTGCTTGGCTCATAATTATACATCTTAAAAGGGCAAATAACAAATGAAAATAGCTATTTCCTTAGTGGATTTTGTGGAAAGCAGGGAGCCTGTCTGAGACATTTCTGATTCTTTAGCACCTGATGCAAGGTAGAATATGTGCTACTAATCAATAACTGGAGATTGAATAATTGTTATACAGGGCTCAGTAAACACTAGAGTACACTGCAAAGGAAAAGTCATCCTAGAAATGGGAGGTCTTATGTCCACACTTGTGCACACATTCATGAGAGCTGCATTAGCATATGGCAGGACAATATGTCAAAAAGTGCCCTTGACTGCAGAAACAACAAAATCCAGGATTCCAGTCCCATCTTTGCTTCTGATCACTGTATAGCTCTGGTAAATGCCTTCTGCTGCAAGACTGAAGAGCTGTGAGGGAAATAAATGATTTGTATTTAAGTGCAGCTTCCCAATCCTCTTTGGATAACCACAGTGAATGTTATTTTATTAAATGTCAGCCTAGTCAGTAGCCTTACATTTGTCTTTTTCTTTTTCTGTGTCGGTCGTAGGGCTTGAACTCTGGGCCTGGGCACGGTCTCTGCTCTCTTCAGCTCAAGGCGAGCAGTCTACTTGAGCCACAGCGTCACTTCCAGTTTTCCAGTGGTTTGAGTCTCACAAAGTTTCTTGCCCAGGCTGGCTTTGAACCATGATCCTCAGATCTCAGCTTTCTGAGTAGCTAGGATTACAGGCATGAGCCACCAGCACCGGGCTTGTCTTTTTCTTTTTAAATCTGGAAGATAGGCTCGTATTCCCAGTTCATGTCCTATCAGTGTTTAGTTGTGAAGACTTCAGGAAAATCATGTTCTTCAATCTCCTCAAGTATAAAAAAGGGACAGTGAAATAAACTTAATTTGATACTTTACTTTTTCTGGTGTTGGTAATGCTTGGCTTTTTCTGCTCAAAGCTTCCCCACCACCATTTAAGCCACTCTCCTTTTCTGGCTTTATGCTAGTTATTTACAAATAAGTCTCAGGGACTTCTCTGGACTGGCTTTGAACCTTTATCCTCAAATTTCAACCTCTTGAGTAGGTAAGATTACATGTGTGGGCTACCACCCAGCTTGATACATGTTCTTAGAAGCTTAACATATACACAGTTTCATTCTAAATTGTTGGTTTTGTTTGTATGTTTATTTTTTACTTTTTTTTTTGTCACTGGTGGGACTTGAACTCTGAGCCTGGGCTCTGTCTCTGAGATCTCCAGCTCCAAGCTAGCACTCTACCACTTGAGCTACAGCACCACTTCTAATTTTCTGGTGGTTTACTGGAGATAAGTCTCACCTACTTATCTCATCAGGGTTGGCTTTCAGCCAGGATCCTCAGATCTCAGCCTCCTGAGTAGCTAGGATTATAGGTGTGAGCCACTGGCACCCGGCTTGTATGTTTATTTTTTGGGGACTGAGCCTTCCTGTTTGTTGCCTAGGTTGGCCTGGAACTCCTGACTCAAGGAATTCTTGACTCAGTTTCCAGAATAGTTGGGGAAAACAGGAACACACAATTGTGCCCACCTTACTCTAAATTCTAAAGGGCTATAAGGATGACTGTTACTTGCTTTCCTGTACTCTAACTTCATCATCTTTTTGTTGTTGTTGTTTTGATGCCAATTCTGGGGCTTGAATTTATGGCCTAGGTGCTGTACTTGAGCTTTTGTGCTCACGGCCACTTAAGCCACGGTTCCACTTCTGGATTTTTTTTTTTTGGTCTGTCGAGGGGCCTGAGTTTTGGGCCTGGGCGCTGTCCCTCAGCTCTTCAGAACTCAAGGGTAGCACTCTACCACTTGAGCCACAGTGTCACTTTCGGCTTTTTTCTGCTTATGTGGTGCTGAGGAATCGAACCCAGGGCCTCATGCATGCAAGGCAAGCACTCTACCACTGAGCCATCTTCTCAGCACCCACTTC